ATCTAAGATTTAGTATACTCACAGTCAGATCTTTGTCGATGTCAAACTTTTTCAACTCTTCCACCAAGCTAAAATCAGTCAAGTCTTCTTCCTTCCTAAACATTAGGTTGACAAGGCCACTCAACGCTCCTGATGATAAAAAACTGGAGCTTTCTAGCAACTCACACGGTAGACTCATTACTGTCCAGTCTCACGAAAAACCACACCAAAGCATTGTAACGAGGGGAGCGAACCTGCATGATGACACATCTTAGTGCGCATACAATATACCTCATCAACATACCGTATTCAAATGCGGGAATAGTTCGCCTTGGCCATAATTGTAAAGGAGAATTGCGATGACAAGTGCCGTCATTACAATGGTAAGCAGTGCCAGAAAGATAACCCATTTATAAGAAGCGTCGATTGAAGTATCGACCTCTTCAGTTATTGCAGCAAAGCAGGGTTTGTCAAGCAGTTTGTTCAACCTTCAATAGAAGAATTTGGCGAAACTATTCAAATAAGAAAAATCAAAAGTCGGTTCATCGGTTCGATAGAATGGATGATATGTTAGGGAAAAACACTGGAGAAGATAATGGATGAGTGATATATCAAAAGAATGTAAAACCACATAGTCATTTCTCAACTGAATGATGAAAATGCGGTCATGAGATGAGTGTTCTAAATGAAAATGAAAGAGCAAGTGATGAGATTGAACTCGTATTGGCAGCACGGATTGCACGAGTTATTGCAAAGTCATTTTTTTTAAATCTTACGGTGGAGGATATTTTGGCCTGATCCTATTCATATAAGAGTGGAAACCAAAATTGGGTTCGTCACACATTCGCCCTTCTGTCATGTTTATGTCGGATTTGTAGCAGCCTGGTCTGAAATTTCAATGGCTAACACTCTAAGTGGTCGGTTATGTAATAACGAATGATTATATGAATTCGTATATGTTGTTGTCTCAAGATCCTTAACTTTGCAATGCTCAACCAATAGGTAACCGTCAAAAACTTACACTTTGCAGCAAAACTGTGGAGCAATAGGGATTTTTTCTATGGAAGATCTATTGGTGCATGAAGTCATCCACAGCATACGATTCGTGCGACCCTTCAACTCATTTGTCATCTGTCAATGGATAGATTGCGCTCAAAGCTCGCATTACTGAAAATATGGCTCACTAGCATCCTGACTTCAAAAAGCGATTCGGAAAACCAGTCATCAATACTTTGAAAGCCGCAGCACTAAATGTTATGCCATTAAAGACATCGGCCCGACAGGATGACGAATTTGGGATATTCATTGTTCTCGGTT